TTTCTGTGTTTCTTTTAATCTTTCATGGTTTCTGTGTTTTATTTCTTGTTGCATATCTTTCACTGCACTGTTGTACATATTTTGAGATACAGTATTTGATGTCCCAAAGCTTTTCATTTTAACATATAATCTGTCTGTGCTGGTTTTAGGGTGCAACACCTTGAGCATGGTCATGATTTCTAATCCATCAGTCAACTCATTGGAATTTTTTTTCTTTTGGTAAGCTGAGGAATGGATATTAGAAACTCCAACCATTTTTTCACTCCTTTTACTAAATTCTTTCATTTAGTTTAGTTTCCGTTATTTATTATTCCGATATTCATTTCCTTTCCTTTCCTTTCATTTTTCCTTATATTTCTTCTTTTTCTTTTTCTTTTTTTTTTTTTCTCTTAAGTTATAATCAAGTACCCGGATGTAATTATATAGCAATCTTGTGTGGTTAATACACCAATTATTTTATTATCCGCTATATCGACTCGGTTTTTTGTCATGGATCTTTCCTTGTTACTAATAACGAGGCTTTCTTTATCCCCAATTGTAATTCCGTTGTTGTCGCTCGAGTTTTAAATTTGTTGATTAATATTTCAGATTCTCTCTTATACTCAGCAAATAATTTTATATTATCCATGTCTACGAGATGAACAAAATTTATGTTAGCAAATTGATATCCTTTGTAGACTTTCAAGGTTCAATGTTATAACCACTAGGATAAATCGGAGACATTAGACCCCTGGAAAAAAATTCCCCATTTATATATTATTTATATATTTTATTTATTATTGGTTTTCTCCATCAGTGGTCAAGTCAACTATTCGGTTTTCCATAGGAAACTTATTTCAAATACAATTTACTTTACCAGCGAGCTAATAGAATTCAGGAAAAAGTAAATTTCTCCCAATCAGAGATGCGTGTTTCTTAAACAGGATAGGATGATGGTTGCTTTGATTTATGGCTTCTCGTGACTCAATAGTGAAGCACACTTGTTTTGTAAGTTGGGCTCCAGTTTAAAAAAGAAATACAGGTTTGATACACGTTTTATTTTTAATAAGATATTCAGTGTCTAGACTGGTGGACATTAATTTTACTGTTTGAAAAAAAATGACTATAACTACGAAAACACACGCACACACAATATATGTTTGCGGTAGTAAGAAATAATAACGAATTGAAAACCCATTATCTGTCTCTGTGTGTGTGTGTGTGTGTGTGTGTGTGTGTGTGTGTGTGTGTGTGTGTGTGTGTGTGTGTGTGTGTTGTGTGTGTTAGTGTGTTGTGTTGTGTTATTTTATTGTAACTTTGCAGCCAGAAAATATTTTTAGATTTTAAGATTTTTTTTTTAGATAATAATGGTTTAGTGATAGAAGCCTTACTAATTAACCCATAGCTGGGAAGAGAAGAGGTGGATCCATACATTTCTCAATGCTATTTGTGGGGAAAACGAGATTTTGACAGTTTATTTACAATTTTTATCAATATGTGCAACAACCTATCCAAAAATTGGAAAAATACAATAAAATATTAAACAAATCGAATTTAATAAAACTTGTTTTAATAAATGTGTGTGTTTGAGTGTGCGTGTGTGTGTGTGCACGTGTCTGTGTGGGCGCGTACGTGTGTGTGTGTGTGTGTAGAAGAAGAAGAAGAAGAAGAAGAAGAAGAAGAAGAAGAAGAAGAAATAATGCGAATAATTCCTATAAGAAATTAAGACAACTTCAAGACGATTATATCAGAGAATTATTTATCTTTTCTTTTTTAGGGTGACGGATATTCAATAAAAATTGACCAATTGCTATAAAAACTAATACCATCGTTTAGAGTACAACGTATGGCAACTGCAAAAAAGCACGATCAAGGGAAATAACTCAAAGAATGTTTTAAAGGGAAACAACCCAATTTTAACTTTTTACAACTAATTATTTCCCTTCGATTATAAACCGTTTTAATTCCCCGTATATGTCGGCGTACAAATTGACTTTAACCTTAAAAACCCCCCACCTTAAAATATAGGGTGCCGATTTATACTCCAGGTACAAAATGTGAACCTTAAATCCTGTGATTTATTGTAAAATGTTAGCAGGGGAGATTTTTGGCTGTAAGCTGATCCCAGGCTCGCCTCCTTTTTTTGGATGATGTTGAACAAAAACACAACTAGAAGCATTTTGAGAACAGTGTAACAAATGGATGGTTAGCGGGAAAAAGTCATTCAGGCTACCGTAATCACTTACCGAAAATACAGCAACCACTCATGACGTATTGTAGATTGTGATAATTAACTGACAATATCACCGTTTTTTCATTAGAATTTGAGTAAAAAAAACGAGGTGGTATACTTACTGAATTTATTTAATAAATTCAATACAATATATTTTAAATTACGATTTACAGGGGTCGTCTTGTACGGTGAATATAGCCCGAAACTTACATTTTAAATTGAAAATTAGGGGTTCATCTTATACGCCCAGTCTCCTTGTATGCCAGCATATACGATCTTCTTCTATGTGCCGTCTCCCTTCAAGCCATTGGCGATTATGGCTCTCCACAATTTCCTTTCCTTAGTAAATTTTGTGTTTTTTATTATCTCACCTGTTTTCCCATCCATTTAAACAAGAAACTTGCTCTGTAGGTCACACGCTGTTTCTTCCCTCTGTCCCTCTCGCCTTCAATCTGTCCCGTGAGTATCAAATTTTCCTCAGTATGCGCCCTAGAAATTTCAACTCTCTCTCTCTCTTCCTGATGTAAAGTATCAGTGTACTTTTTGTTTACATTTTCGCTAAAACTTCCTCATTGCTCACCCATTGTAGTCTCAGTATCCTTCTATAGAACATAACTAATATCAATAAATTTTAATGATACATATACTTATAATATAATTTTCTTATAATATAATTTTAATGATACATATATAACTCTTATAATATAAATATAAGTTATAAATAATCTATATTATATTAAGTCATAAATAATTTCTGATTATTTATCAACTTTATTCTTCATTACATCCGTCAGCAAGTCTTCTGATTGGAGGATTATGAGGAGCGTGGAACTACAAAAAGAGAAATAAAAACTACTACCAAAACTTCTAAAAATATGATGGTATTCAGCAGCAGAAAAATAATCGAATTTATCTGTAAATAAGTCTCCCATTCGTCCATGCTTCGAATATTGGTGCCACATATGGTCTGGAGTTCCTGATATATATTTAGAGATTCATGATAAAATCCAAAGAAGAATCTGCAATATTATTGGTCTTGCCCTGGTATCTCGACTTGAGCCACTACATATATATAATATAGCTTCCTTATGCCTTTTCTATAAAGACTTCTATGGTAATTTTTCTGATGAACTTTCCTCTATAGTACCTAAACTTTGGGTGTCTCAATGGCTGTTGTGATGCGTCTAGTGTGGTAGTCTGTAGTGATAGTGCTTGTCGCCTCTCGCTTTCAGTTACCGCCGCTGGCTAGCAGCAATGCGAGAAGGGGAGCCGAGTGGGTAAGTCTTCCCCTGCCAGTATATAGCCTCTCCACCAGCAAGCCCTATGTAGTGCCTCCTCGTGGCGACACATGGCAACCGAGCACCTTGAGGACTCGGGCTAAACTACAGGGGATGGAGGAGGAGTTGGCCCCCTTAAAATGCGGCATGCAGGTCCACCGGTGTGTGGACATACCCTGGTGCCTATGAACCAAACTCCAGCTATGGGTTAAATAGCTCCACTGCCTTGTGGAAATCTTCGGTAGAAGGAAAGGCTAAGGAGTAAACCCTACACAAATCCGCAGTGGAGCCCCTAAGGCGGATTGACGGCACTCTGTGCTACCTTCCGGCAACTCCTGCAGCCTCGCTGGTACCAAACTGTATTGATTCATCGTCTCCTTTGGACTCTGCTAGCAAGGCCGAGAGGGGGAACTAGACGTCCGGGCAGCCATAGTTCTCCATACATCCCGCCCAGGCCCCTGGCGCACTGGAGAGGACATTCCAGCGACGTCGAAGGACATCGGCACAACACGGGAAGTGACAGCAACCAGCCAAAAGCCCAACCCGATTAGCGTAGGCTACGGGCGCCTGGGGTTATCTCCGTGGGTGGGAGAGATCATCGTGTCTCACTGGACAGCTACCGCCCGCCTCAAACTGGGCAGCCCTCAGCCAGTAAGGTGCTGTCCCGCCACAGCTTGACTGCTCTACTGGGTGTGTAGGGCTTGGGGACTGATCCTCCTGACAAGCAAGCTGTAAATCCTGCATCAAGAAATAAACACAAAGACTCCAACTCTTCGATTTGCTAGCTGGAACGTCCGAACCATGCGCCCTGGACTCGCAGATGACATCCAACAGCTCGACAATGCTCGAAAGACCGCGGTCATAGACAGGGAACTTTAAAGACTGGGCACTGACATCGCCTGCCTGCAAGAGACTCGTCTGGCTGAAAGCGGTTCCATCAGAGAGACCAACTACATCTTCTTCTGGCAGGGCCTGTCTCAGGATGACCCAAGGCAACACTGCGTAGGCTTTGCTGTGAAGAACTCGCTGATACCAGTCACTAAACCACCAACTGGCGGATCTGAGAGAATCCTACTACTGCGCCTCTCAACATCTACAGGTTTCGCCAACGTCCTCTGCATCTACGCGCCAACGCTCTGCGCCACCCCAGAGGTCAGGGACCAGTTTTATGAGGCACTGGATAAGACGATATGCAGGACACCAATACTGAAGGATTATACCTACTAGAAGACTTCAATGCCAGAGTGGGAGCCGACTGTGACACTTAGCCCTCTTGCCTCGGCTGTCAGGGCATAGGCAAGATGAATTAGAATGGACAGCAGCTGCTGGAACTGTGCTGCCACCACGGACTGTGCGTGACGAACACCTACTTCAAGTGCAAAGAGCGCCACAAAGTCTCTTGGAGACACACCCGCTCTCGACACTGACACCAGCTCGACATTGTCATCACCAGGCGGGCAGACCTAAGAAGCGTTCTTCACACTTGGAGCTTCCACGGTGCAGACTGCGACATGGCCCACTCCCTAGTAGGCTGCAAAGTGAGACTGACAGCCGAGAAAATACACCGCTCCAAAACAAAGGGCCTCCCTCGCATCAATACCTGTCGTTCCAATGACCCTGAGAGCTCTCGCCGCTTCCAAACCGCCTTTAACGCGAAGGTCGACACATTCTCCTTCAGTGCCACTGATATCGACAGTAGATGGTACCACCTCCGTGATGGCATATACACCTCAGCACTTACTGCGTTCGGGAAGAAGGATCGTCGAAATGCGGACTGGTACGAAACTCACTGGGATGAGATGCAGCCAGCCTCTGAAGCCAAGAGACAAGCACTTCTAGCCTACAAGCAAAACCCTTGCATCAGTACCCGCAATGCCCTCGGATCTGCTCGCAGCAAAGCCCAACAGGCTGCGCGCTGGTGCGCGAACGACTACTGGCAGAACCTGTGCAGCAGGATCCAGACGGTTGCCGACAGTGGAAATGCAAGAGGCATGTACGCCGGCATCAAAACCGCCACCGGTCCCACTCCCATCTAGACGGCTCCGCTGAAGTCCAGGGCAGGAGAGGTCATTACAGACCAGGACAAGCAGCTGGAGCGCTGGGTGGAGCACTATCTGGATCTGTATGCAACCCAGAACGTGGTGACGGATACCGCCCTGGATGCCTTTCCCAGTCTCTCAGTCATGGAGAAGTTGGATGCCCCGCCCTCTGCAGAGGAACTCGGAAAAGCCATCGACTGTCTCTCCCGCGGTAGGGCCCCTGGGAGAGGCGGGATCCCATCGGAGGTTCTGAAGACTGGCAAGCCAGCTCTGCTGCAGCATCTCCACGAGCTCCTCTGCCTGTGCTGGGAGAAGGGCCACGTCCCCCGGGACATGCGAGATGCCAGCATTGTCACCCTCTATAAGAATAAAGGTGACCGCAGCAACTTCAGTAACTACCGCGGCATTTCCCTCTTCAACATCGTCGGGAAAGTCTTTGCCCGTGTCGTCTTGGCACGCCTGCAGAGCCTCGCCTCCCGTGTGTACCCCGAGTCGCAGTGTGGATTCAGGGCGGGTCGATCTACAGTGGACATGATCTTCTCTCTGTGCCAGCTGCAGGAGAAACCACTGTATATCGCCTTTATTGACCTGACGAAAGCCTTCGACTTGATCAGCAGAAGCTGACTCTTCAGCCTCCTGGAGAAGAGGATAAGATGTCCCCCAAGACTGCTCCAGATGGCCAGTTCCTTCCACGAGAACATGCACAGCACAGTCCGCTACAACTGCGGGACATCCGACACCTTTCCTGTGAACAACGGCGTAAATCAGGGTTGTGTCCTCGCGCCGACACTCTATGGGATCTTCTTCTCCATGTTTCTCCAGTACGCCTTCTGCGACTGCACGGAGGGCATCTCCGTCTCCGTGTCATCCAGTTTCATCTGCGCCAAGTTCCTGAGAGACTGGTGCTCCACAGTAGGACTACATAGTCACACAATCGCCAAGAATTTAAAAAAATAAAAAAATAAGCGCTACTCCATCGTCTCCTGAGACGGACGGATGCCGAACCTAAACTTTATGAATTTAAGGGCAGTACTAGATTGGCGTGTAGGTCTCATCATTTTACAGATGAAATGGCTGGATGTAACCGTAAGTTTTATTCTTCTCTCGAACTTCTCGCTTATGGAACACTCTTCCGGCTTCATGCTTTCCAGCCAACTTTGATCTTGAAAAATTTAAATGCAATGTCAATCGTTATCTACTGTTTTCTTGATTCCTGTTCTTTTATTGTTCTCGTTCCTTAATAATGTTTTCTCTTTTGTCTTATTCTTTCACACTCAGTAAACCTTTCTGTCTAGTCTCTAAAAAATACCTGGGTACCAGGATCTCCCGGAACAGTTCTCTGGACAAATAAAATGTTGAATCATCCCCCCACACATGCAAAGGCACACACACACAAACACAGACACACACAGAGACACACAAAGAGGCACACACACTACGATAATCACAAGAGGCGTGATATTTGAAAGGTTCTTCCTCTTTTCTCTTTGACTTTCGAAGCGGCAACACCGTTTTGTTCCTATAGACACAAGATATGTAAATATTTCAGAGACATACACTTGTAACTTCAACTTCGTTTCTGTCTTTATCCATCTGCAACATGTCTTCTTAATACATCTATTAATTGTTGTTAGAATTCCAGGTTTTGTTTTCTTATTTACCCGGACACACAGTCCGCTAAAATTATTTGCGGGACAAATGTACCAGGAGACATAAAATGATTATACTTTCTATTTTCGCAACAAAAATGGTGACCCTCTACGTGATATTCTCCTGGATATATATATACAAAAAGACACTTTCAAAAAGAAAGTTACATCCGTTCCAGACATTTTTTTCTTACGTCTCACAGCAACATATACGTAGTGTTCTGGCAGACTGCTGCGCCTACTATTACGCATGCGTATTACGGTCACTTCATAGCTTTCACCGATGGTTATAACGAGTTCGTGCCTCACCTATAGGAAGAGTTTGCTACAGCCACGGAATTTTTACTACAGAGAGAGGACAACTTCGGTGACAAACAAAGGTGAATATTCTTCTTGAATGATATTAAACATGGAAAGACCGACTGAAGCATTCATGTTGTTACACTTACCAACGTTTAACCCACTCGATGTACAGACTTGGTTCGCTCAACTTCAAGTTATTTTTACGGCAAAAAGTGTGACTTCACAAAGGACAAAATTCGCCTACGTTGTTGAAAAACTTCCAAAGGAGATCTCCCGTAAAATTCTGGACAAGTTGAAGGCAATATGTGAGGTGAATCCATATGACACGCCAAGACAAACTATTTTACATCGAACTGTTGAGTCCGAAACGAAAATGCTAACGAATCTCTTTAGTAATGTGTCAATAAAAAACAAGACACCTTCACGACTCCTTAGGCAAATGGGGAGTCTTCTCCATCTTCATACCTTGCCTGAGAATATGGAAGGCGCCGACTTGGAGAAATTGGCAGAAATTACTGATAAGACTTGCGAAAACGCATGCGCACAAAACGTTAATGCAATCCCAAATCCACCTACCTCACAAATGGGCCAAATCCATCAACATCAGTCCTCCATAGACAAACTCACCGAGAGAATTGAAACCATGTCAGTGAGATCGGGACAATACGTCTCGCGTTATCACAGGCAACATTGCAGTTGAAATATATGCAACAGCTGACACAGCTCAAAAGTTCGCCCACGCAACGTGGAAATATATTTGATACCATCTTAAATTTGGTATTAACACTAAAAAGTTCACAAAACCGGTAACCACGTCCTGGGTATGACGATAAGCTACATCCTGCAGCAAGGCCTATCACATTGGAGGTTTTGAGGAGCCTGGAAGCACCTCTTAATTGCTGTTCTTCATTGGTCTACCCAGAGTAGTAGCACCTGTTAGGGTCCCAGCTACAAGCAAGTATTGAACTCCCAAACAATAATAAAATGAGCAACAATACATTTTACAGCAAAATAACAATCAATGTAACACTAAAATGTATATATATAAATAAATGCTATAGTAAAATTACCAACGATACATTTTATGAATTTCAGACTACATATCTAAAAAGGCATACCTTTACTCAAAGTATAAAATTATGTATAAAATATATTCAGTTGAAGCCATAAACTTACATTCAAAATATTTAGATTTCGGTATTAAATAACACATTGAGGTTAAGCAATTAAACTTAAATTAGACGACCAAGCCTCAGCAAACTTAACTTAGAACAAGTATCAGAATCTTTCAGCGTCGAAAGATGGGGATATTAGTCCAAATGCGAATAATGAAAATATTGAGACCATGTTAGTTTTATACATTTTAAGAAATCGAAAAAAATAAATCCCAATTCTTTTATTTTTGAGAAAATCGGAAAAAAAAAATAAATCCAAATTCTTAAATTAGCTTTTTCGACAGGTGTATATAGAAATAAAATTTACTTTTGTTTTATTTCTTCAGAGATTTTTTTTTTTTTTTTTTTTTACTTATATCGGCCTCTGCGCGACACGGTATGTAACAAGAGCAATAAATATCTGATTGAACTGAAATATTATTGTCGTGTATTGCATACGGGAAAAATATATTAAATTTTCACTCATAAACTGATATTTGCAAGGGAAGTAACTCTTAAAATTTTTCTAATAGTAGCCTCCCTTAGACTGTCAATCTATAGCTCTTATAATATTGTTTTCTATAGGTGCCATAGTAACAGTGTAAAAACAGTAAAGATAGAAGATGGCGAGCAAACTTACCTGACGAGTTCCTCTGAATTGATGATATGATTCCTTCGCTACATAAGAGTTCTCATGTTTCAAAAACGAGAGCCGAATCCCTCAATATAATTATTAAAATATGGAGTATGGAGCACTGTTTTTAATATTAAAACAAAAATACTAAAGAACACCGGATTATTTAGCTAACGTGTTCTTTTTCCCATTTTTCTACATACCACACACACACACACACACACACACACACACACACACACACACATATATATATATATATATATATATATATATATATATATATACACACACATATATATATATATGCCTTGTGCTAAATATAGCATCGATCATCTGACAGAATTTATTTTATTAATTATATATATATATATATATATATATATATATATATATATATATTCATGCACGTTTCATTAAATAATATAGATAAGTGTTGTCTATTTATTTTATGGAATTTTTTTCGTAACGTCTGATAAGTTTAATAACATTATCGTTGAACGAAGAAAGAAATTCACAATATTGATCCATATTTTTTTAATACAATCTAAGCTTTCGGCTTACATAAGCCATTATCAAAGATGCCAATTACAACATATTAAGCAATATACGGACACGGCAGTGATGATAGTTTGTCACTGTTTACATAGATGATTTCTAAGCAGCGATAAACACGTGCATATAAGACACTAGAAGTGAAAATCGCACCGCATCTCATGACGTCACACATGACCACACGAGAGTGAATTGGAGAAGTATGGGAAGCCATTGGTATAAACCAATGGCTTCTGTTACCAATTATAGACATTTAAGAATATTTTAGAAATGCCATAATTGATTTTATTTAGGTTGGGTTTCAACTGTTTGATGTATAATGCTTCAAGGATTTTTAGTTTTTGTCTATTGTTTTCATGTCGAAGTATAATTGTGTTTTCGACAAGTATTTTACGGAATTGTATGTGTGGGCAGGCATGTTGTTTTAGATGCCTAAAAATGTTAGAGTTTTCATTCAAATGTAGTGTCAAGCGTCGTGAAAGCGAGTTTGTGGTTTGACCAGCATAAATATTATTTAATTCGTTGGAGATACACTCTCCCAAAGGGCACTTGAATTTATAAGCTATGTTGTTTTTTTGCAAATCGCTAAATACACACAATATATATATATATATATATATATATATATATATATATATATATATTGTATAGTACAATTATATTTTAAAAATATGATTCCATCGCGACACAGAAATTACTATGTTTCGAAACTGTGTTAAAGTTTAATTTTAATATTAAACCTTAACTTTAGATGACCGTTTCATTCTCAAGCGATGTTTGGAATAACCGAGCGAAGAAATGTTTTATTCATTTATAATTGGGAAATGGAGGTGTTATCTGGGGTTTGTCTTTCATTATCAAGGCTTCTCTGTTTTGATGAAAGTAGAAACGTTTATTATATGTCAAGTTTTTGGAGTCATGTAAGGTTGGGTTGGGGGATTTTTCTTCGGTTACAGGGACATTTCTATCAGGCTCTATTGTTTTTATTACTAGCTGCTAAAACTTACACTGATTGATGTTCTAGTTACAGTTTGTTTTTTTGTTTTTTGTGTTTATTTATTTGTTTTTTTATTGATGATTTCTTAAAAGGGTGCTAAGATTATAATTGGGTTTTATTTTTAAACCAATAGTTTTAATTGAATTTGCTAATAGATTTTATATGGCATTGTGTAATTATTTATATATGGTATTGTGAAAATCTTTTTATTTTTTTTAAATATATATATATATATATATATATATATATATATATATATATATAATTTTTCTTATATTGAACATTAATAAATTTACATTAATAAATGCAACTGCCGAAAAGATACGATTTAGCCCGTAAACGGCCAATGTATGACTGAAAATATTGTGTATCGAGCTAGTATACATTCTGATAAAAATGTCAAATTTTATATTGGATCCAATGAAAATCATTGGACGTTTCGTTTTTTATCATCATCGAAAACTTTAGGCAATGTAAGATACATGAATAGTACAGGTTTCGCCAAACATTTCTGGTAGTTACAGAATGGTAGTAATACACCTATAATTACGTAGGATATAATAGCTAAAACCAAATCTTACAATGAAAAAAGCGATAGATGTAATTTATGTCTTATAGAAAAATTAGCCAGCTTAAAACACATAAATAACCCTAACTTATTAAACAAGAGAAATGAATTGATTACGTTGATCCAGATTAATTTCTATTGTGATCATAACCTTTCCTTTTTTTTAAATTTTCTTGCTTACTTATCTTCTGTCAAGCAAATATATTTTTATATGAATGTCTTTCCATTAATTTTTTTTTCTACCGATTTGTATATGTCTCGATCATTTTTGTGGTCATCGGTGCGTTTTATTTATTAAAAAAATAAACATCATCCCTGTTTATTTTAAATATAAAATATAAATACCGTTTATTTAAAATTAATTTTTAACGGTTAACCCCGTCTAATATATGGACTCCGCCAGCATTGCATTAACTAGATATATTTATTAAAAAGTAAATTATGTAACGGTCACTCACTACTCAGCACCTGATGACTGCGTCGTGCATAAAACTCAGAGTTGTGCTACCGGTGTAGAAAAACGGTATGAATGCACAGGCAGATAGATGTAAATCACACAGTTTATATATATATATAAATGTGTCAATATCTGCTAACAACTCATGTCTAAATATTTTACTCATGTGTAAATTTTCTTTTCATTTTTTGTTTGGAAGTAAAGTCTGATGATCCGCAGTCCTTTTAAAAGGGCTGTGGTGAAATAATTTATTACATGGAACCTTAAAGTGGTCTGTTTTTATTTAAATTATTTCCTCTGGATTTACATTGAGCTCTCTGGATTTTATCCTCCTTAGGTTTACCCATACGGATTACCTAGTTTTTCATAAACTATATATATATATATATATAAAGAAAGAAAGAAAGAACAGTAAGATATATAATCCGGTGTTCTTATTGATATTTTTTTTATTTTTACAAAACAGTGCTCAATGTAAATTTACAGAGCATAAATATTATAAATTAACTGATGTAAAATATGTTTTTTCGCTACACAGTAATAACCATGTTTCAAAAACTGAAGCTAAAACTTCAAATCTAATTATATAATTAAATTAAAAGCATTAGTTCCGTTTCATCTTCAAGCGAATATTCGCTTGAAGATGA